TGATCTGTTTCAGCCATCGAACATATTGCTTCTTAACAATCGGAGTATTTATGAGCAAATATGAGCAAAAAGTATGAGCAAAAATAAGCATAGTTTTCTAAATGTCTACCTGAGGGTAGAAAATAAATTCCTGGAGAGCAGGAACCAAGTCCTTATCCCTAAACCTTTTATTCCTAGTATCTATCCACACACATGGTACATGACACATGATCAATTAATATGTGTCCACTGAATGGCTATGGGTCAGAAACTTTGCTTTCTACTGATACAAATGCTTATAGAAATAGGTCTTGGACATATAACTACTATAATAATTACTATGCATCCAAATACTGCTCTCTCAAATGTCAGCTGTAGTAAAGACAGAGCAGGACTACAGCTAATTAATGATTGACCTTTTTTCTCTAACATACAGTGATAGGATAAATATTTTTTTATGTTTGGATATAGTGAGGGCCTCGTTAATTACATGTGAGAGATACTTTTCAGTCCTTTGTGAGCTTTTGAAGATCTGATTTGTATTTCTGACCAGATATGTAGAAGAAATTAGTCTACTTTAGCCCAAAGGCTTCACAATTGTCTAGATTTAGATCACTTCAAATATTTCAGTATGTATTGAAAGAAAAAGATGGAATGTCATTTTAATTTGCAATTTTACTTATGTTTTAACATTTATTTAATGCTAGTTTGCCTTTGCAACTAAATATTTAATGAAGCACATGTTTTCATTATGTAACTTGATAGTTTAATGGTATAGTCTACAATAAGTATTTGCACATATAACTCTAGTTACCATGTACATCAAAATATCTTCTTAGGAATCTTCCCTAGTTGTTGGGATTTATTTTCATTACCGAAAAAGAGAGTTTTATTATGATTTCAGTTAAGAGAGCAACTTTTTGTAATTTGAGAATGTTAAACACTAGATGGCAGGATGAGACTACAGACATCCAACTTCTCAAAGCTAAATATCGAAAGAATTTGGTGCTTTCTTGAAGATGTTAAGAATTCTTGGGCAAATACATTGTATTATACTTTAATATATGTAT